GCCACATTATGCACTTTTTCCTATATTGCCAGTGGTAATGATGCTAACAGCTAATACAATATACTTTCAGCTATGTAGCTGCATGATTAGATATCAGTACTGTGGCAGCAGCAGTGCACAATAACGCTGTGTGCATAAATGCTATTCCTGCACTACATGTCTAAAGCTGGCTGTAGCCTGTCTTCTAGGATATCTGTGCTCCGCTGGCTTTTGATTATGCAAATACTATGCACTATAAATAAATTAGTATAATTGCATCTGAAATATGCTTTGAATCTCCCTCGAAGATGAAAGGGTGTAAATAATATATTTCGTGTCATTGCATTATTCATCTTCTATTAATTACAAACATCGAGGCGCTCAGTCTCAACATACCATATGCTATACTCCACATTTAAGTGGTCTGCATGTTGTTTTTTATATACAGTACACTTTATGTATGTCCATAGTCTGTCAATATCAAGGCACTTGTTTCTAAATTATAAAGCTAATTGTCTTTCACTGTTTTCACTCTCAATTTCCCATTAGTAAACTCCAGCGTATCAGCATCAGCATAATATAGTTTCCAAACCATAATTGGCTTTTATCGTCAAAATTAGTGGCTTTTATTGTTGAAATGATTGGCTTTTATTATCGAAATTGTAATCCCTGTTTGAACAAGCTCTGTAAAACACAACGTACCTGTATTCATTGTCCGAACATCCAGATTCTCGTCTTTTTTCATATTATGCATAAGCACGCCTGCATTATGTACCATTTCATAAAAGGGGAGGGGGCTTCAGAAAACATTAAATAAGCATAAATACTGTAGACGCGCCGTGACTACAATTAAAATATGCCTGTCTTTTTTGCTCTCTGTAAAGCATATGGTATTGAGGCCTAGATGCAATTTGAATACGGGGAACCATTTGAAAAATATATGCTGTTCGGCAATTAAATTATATGGGCTCCCAGACTGGGGAGCCAGTACCAGTGCATATAGAATAGTGAGCAGTAGTTGCTACGCTCGCATTAGCATCTGGCCCTTTTATGTAAATTTGATGAGAAAGGACTCATGCATATACGCCAGGGCTGGGTTGTACTCGCCTAATATCCTTATTAGAGAGGGGTGAATTAAATATTTATTAGGGGGGCTAAGGGTTAGGAAGGGGGGCCTGTCCTGTGTTGTCGTGAGGACCCGAGGTGGAAGAAGGGGGAAAGGGAGGAGGAGGTTGGCTTTCTCTATGAGTGTCTCTCTCTGCCTCAAGGTGCCACCATCTTAAGGCGTTTGGCAGTAGTGAGAGTGTGAGGAGGGTAGACCTAAAATGTCCGCTGGCATAGACACATGCACGCATACACATTAACGCATACAAATTTCAGTGTGATATGTGGACAGGAACACAGAGCTCTGAAAGTCAATTATTCAATTACTGTCATTGGCAGCTATGCATGCTGAGCATTTCATTTGCATGTATTAATTCCCTCGATTACTGTCACCTACGAGATCGGCCTGTGTTTAGCTTTCTATTGCACGCCGTTTATTGGGTACGAGCGCTAATACTAGCACCAGGGCCATTAGAACCAAACTGGTATTTGCTAATATATTAAGAATTTCAATTTACCATTTCTATATATTTTCAGCCCAAGAAACAATTTGTAGGTTGGCTTTTACTGGGTTCAGTTTGACAAAACATTGTAATGGGACACACACATTTCAATTTGAAGATATTTCAAGTTACATGAATTAATGTGTTTATTTACAGTGTTAAACATTAAATTATTTGATGCTGTAATTTTCAACCAGGGCTTGCCATTTTAAAGTCCCACACATCATAGAAAAAAACTCAACATATTGTACATATCACAAAGGTATCAGTGTACTTACCAGGCCCTAATGGATAAAGGTGCAGCATTTTACTTTTTGTGAACAGTTAGTGATAAAATTAGCTCTTTTTGGGAGATACCTTTCTTCAAACTGTTACACCAAAAATGACAATAGGAACGCTATAGAGCAGAGAAAGAAAAGTCGGTAACAGTATTGCTGATTTATGTTAATCAGCGCTATACTGTTCCTGCTATCATTTGCTGTCTCCTTCTCTCTTACTTACTCTCACTGTCACATACACACACTGTAGCTGACCTCCCCTATCTGTTAATTACCATAAATGTGTTTAGTGAGGCGGCATACACACGGGCATACACACCTTCACACCTTCACACACACACACACACACACACATGCAGCACACAAACACACATTGTTCAGTGAGATACAGACACAACATTAGCATTCCCTTTCATCCTGAAGTGCTCCTGAGGCATAGTATAAAGAAGAATGTGCAGGAAATTATTCAAGATGAATTATAACACACATCATCCCCATTTTTTGGCATTGACACATACACAGACACACACACAAATATGCGGCTAACCAGCTGAGGAAAGTGTGTTATCGGAGGTATTTGACTATTGTTACAATTAGAGTTTTGGTTTAAATTGGTTGTTGATGTGTACATTTGTTTCTGTAGGTACATCTATATTGCTGTGTGTGTATTCATGATTCATCTGGAAGTCGTCATGTTCAAATTCTAGAAGTGTATGTGGACATTTCGTCTACAGTATGTCAGCTGTGTGCCCTTGCATAGTCAGCCTGTTGTCCCTTTTTACATGCATAAAGTATAAATACAATATCAGCTGTTCCCCTACCCTACCTCCCTGTTTCCTCTGATGAGTGGTACGCCCCGGCGTGCTGCCAAAGAAGTGAGAATAATTAAGCGGCTGCATGTTTGAGCCTGGCGTTGGCTAATGGATTGTTACCGGGAGGAAATGAGACAGGCAGCATGGGGGAGCTGGGTGGCAAAGCAGACCTCGACTTTGGATAATGAAACACTGAAATCCACCAGGGTGGAGAGTAGACACACCTCTCGTAAAGGAAATGCTTTTGTTCTATGACTACTTCTTTTTGTCATATAGGTAGGTGCAATTGGTGAGGAGTCACACAGTGTGAGAAAGGCACAGTCAGTGCTGCATCACTTAAATCAAGATATATGTAGTTTTTCTCATTTTTCTAATTTCTTACACTGTGTTTAAAATCAGTGCAACTCGCTAAAGCATAATTCTTCCTCTACAAAAATAATCCTTTTAGGTCTCTTTATGTTCTCTTGTGTGTGTGTGTGTGTGTGTGTGTGTGCTTATGTATACGTATACATAAGCAATTTGCATTAGATTTGGCATCATCTGCATCACCACTCTGCTGCTTTAGAAAAAAGCGAAAAAGCAGGGGTTGATTCTTGGCACTGCCGTCGTCAATGTAGGCCCCCCCCACCTCCACCACCCCCTCACCCTGCACACACATGTAGGCTAGAAGCAGAGCGGTGGTGGGGATAGGGGGGAGCGGGGCGGAGGAGGGAGATAGAGGAGCAGGAGGGAGATGGGATGAGACAAGCCACACAAGCCGCAAAGGGAACGGGGTGAAGGTGGAGGGGGGAGTGCTGTATAGTTACCCTAAACCCTGCCGTAGGGCTAGAAACACACATGCACACACACACATTGGTTTGCCACACAACCGCAAAACACACTCAGAACAGTGTAGAACATTGCAATGGGGAGTATGAGAATATGCCCCGTATAAAGATATCCTAACTGTTTTTATTGGTTCGGATTACTCGTGAGGTGTTAATTGAATTTAAAGGTTATGGTTGTCTGACATTCATGTTTTTTTCCAGGATCCTTGATTTTAATGCATTTTTGTAGTTTGTATTTGATGAAATAAAAGCATAAATAAAATCAAGAACTAAATCATAAGAATCTTGTGTGGTTGTATTATTGATTATTACCATGAACAGTGGCATCCTGACAGTGTGCGTGTCAGTGAAAGTGAAAGTGCAAGTGTGTGGTTATGTGTGTGTATGAGTGTGTGCTCTTTGATATGGAGCTCTAATAAAACGTGGCATCTGTCTGCTTGATATTGACATGCCAGAAGAACCTCACAGTCACTTGGGAACACAGCAGGAAATCAATCCAGAAGAAAATGCATATACCCTATATTCCTGTATATATCTTCATAATAAGTCATAACCTCCACATGAAAAGAAAATTAACTCTTAATAGACTTTGAATAAAGCAAAAAAAAAAATCTTCATAATGTCAAAAGTGCACTTTTTGCAATTCTTCTTCAAATACAGTATTTTTGACATCTGACCAGTTTCTGACTGGGTTCTCTTAAACATGTCTTCACATTAGTAGAATGTCAGCAGTCACATCTGTTTACAGGGTTAAAAGGTAAAAAATTAAAAGAAAAAAAATGAAACAAAAATTGTTGCATTCAAGTTCATTGGCATATTGCTGTATGAGGTAAAAAATTATGTCTTGAACTAACCTTGCTACAATCTATAATGGTTACTTTTGACCTCAAATGGCTTTGTCCTTTAGCCTTGACATTTGACATTTGACCTCCTCACTCCAGTTAGAGGAGGCAGAGGTTGAGGGTGGTTGGGTTCAACAACATGGCTGCTGAAACAGTGTTGGCATACACCACAATTAAGAAGACTTTACTACTCAAACCAAAATTATCCCAGTTTTAATATGAGATATTTAACTATCTATACGTCAATAATGGAACTTCAGACTTCTAAGTTAACATTTAAACAAGGTTTCATATTAATATTTTGAAGTATGAAAAAACATACCTCCCATGACCTTCAAATGATCTGAAAACCAGCTGCTCATGTGCCATTAATGGCTCAAGTTTGACTTGCTATTTGTGGCAAAGTGTAAAGGTTGAGACAACATTTGCACAAAGTTATTGCCAATTTGAATTCCTGCAAGTAAACTTAGCAATGGTAAATGCTACCTCTGTTTCCTTCTTCTACCATATAAATGTGCATTTACTTTCACCTCCTTTTTTTTTGTGGAAACATGTTAATTGTGATTTGCTCAAGAAGAGTTATTCAACATGTAAAGGTTACCGCTTGGTAAACGTATTCACTCCCTGCGTGTGTGTATGTCTTTCGTTGCTGCAGTGATGGAGAAAAGGAGCTGTGGAGAACTGCAGGCAGCAGGAAGTAGAGGTCAACATGAGATCTCTGGGATTTTGCTCTCAACTGGACCCACATAAGGTGAGCTTGGGTTGTGTAAAGTGTGTGTGTGTGTGTGTGTGTGTGTGTTTATTCAGTATTAGACTATGAGCTACAGTAAATGTGTAGGTATGTGCAATAACATGTCAACATTTAGCCAATAGAAACAACCCACATTTAATCTAATCACACCGAAACTAAATTATTCAGTGTTTGTTGATTTACTGTGACCTCTGGTAATTCAAGGACAAAAAAAATAAACTAATTATAGCAATATGTTGCTCATTCTTTTTTTTCTTCAAATGTATAAATCTCTTAAGTTATTTACTGGACTCATGATATCAATTTTATTTATCTGAAATTTTAAATACTAATTGTATTGTTAATATTGAAAATGTTGTCAGGAACAGACAAATTTCTTTGTTGGCAGGGGTTTTGACTGAGTGTTTTTCCCCTCTGTGCCTATCTCTGCTGATGTGTGAGTCTGTGTCTGTGTGTGTCTGTTTGCCTGCAGCAAAGTTAGCCCATGTGTGTGTTGGATAAAGGCATAGATGTTAGTAGTGGTCCAGAGGACACAGTAAACAGAATAACAGCAGTTTGAAGGGAGCTCAGGCGATGTGATCGGGGGCAATATCAAATCCCATGACCCATTCTTTGCCCTGTGGTCCATACCAAAGACAAGAAGCACAGGGGAAACAGAGGTTACTGTTCACTGTTCATCATCACAATAACACACAAACACACACCAACAATAGCCACAACCAGGAAGTGACTACAAAAATTTCCTCTAGCCATTGGAATCCATGCGGTTCCAGTAATTGCCCTCCGCCCTGGCATTGCGTTGTGTGCAGGACATCTTGCTCTATCAATTAGACCTCCAGCCATTATTACATCTGACATTTTATGTTATTGAAGAGAGACAAACATTTTAATGAGCTGAGCTTTCTCATGACAGGGAAATATTTATTATAGCAGCTGATTACCATCTGCGCTTTCTTTATTTCAACTTTGACCCCATTTTAGCTGAAATTATTGACATCTGTCACTGTCAGCAGTAAGTATAAAGTAGCACTTGGTACTATGCCATGCTTATGCTCTTTATGGTAAGAACCCGCACCGTGGCACCTTTGGTATGAAAAAATGAAACCAAGTGAAAAGACTTCAGTGACTTTATATGTCCCGTGTTGAGAGTTCTGAGAGTCAGAAGTTTTTTTTCTTGGTGATGCAAAAAAAAAGTGGCTAAGGAGAAGAGGTGGTATGTCAGCGCCCAAGGGCCTCAGTGTGCGGTGGTGTTACTCGTCCTAATTACTCCCAATACTCATACACATTTGGTGGACTGCTCAGAAGGGCCAATTAGAAGGGCAGGGCAAGTCACTGGGTGGGAAAAGTCAGTGCTCAAGTCTGTAGCCATCTATACCACAGAGAGATGACGTCTTATTGCGAACTCTGCAGTACATTTCCACAAATTACCTTTTTGTATAGAATTAATGCTTTGGCCAACATAGCAATATATATTGGTGTTTTTTCTATATTTACTTTCTATGTATTGTTATTCCAACATAATTTCACGTTAATATTTAGGATTACTGCTTTGAGTGAAGCCAGGATCATTGTTGATCTTGTTAATCAGGTTGGAGCAAAAGATGTCAAAGGGGTAAAATGAAAACCTTGTTTACCCTTGTCAAAGAAGAAGTTGTTACCTGAGATAGGAACACGTTACCGAACAGCATTAAAAAGACATTTGAATTCACTCATTTTAATCGGTTTCAATAGTCATAGATTTCATTAGATGATCCAATGAGATACAGTACACACACACACAGTAACAATATCTGTGGAGCATCTTTGCAAACATTTTCTATACATACAGAGCTATCACCTTAGATAGACATCTCTGCTAAAAGCCCAGACCTAAAAGTGTGTCAGGGTCGTCAGACCCCTATACCTGACTTTGCATTATTTAGTTAGAAAGGTAGGCTTTCTTATGAGTAACATCGAACCCCCCATCAGCCATTGCCTGTGTGCAGAATATGGCAGGGTCATGGGTTTGAAGCTGAAACAGGAAACTAGGACAGCTTTTCATCTTTGCAGATACAGATGTACTTTGATGATATCAGGAAATGTTTCCATTGAAATGAGGGCAAGGATATTTTTGAAGGGTTACATTCCACTTTACCTTGGTACCATTTGCTGAATATTAAATAGGCACCCACAATAACACATAATTTTTATAATACAGTACAGTTTGTTTACATTGCATCGCCTCATTTCCTATGCTATACTCATAATCATCTATCAGACATGCATATTTGGAGTACAGCTGCTTACTATTAGGGTGTCAGCGGGGGTGAGTATTTATAATGTGGTGCCCGCATTTGTGAATATAAACCCTCCAGTGTTGTAGACTGGCTTCTGTATCATCAGTGCTAGCCCACAGCGATTAATGAAGTCGTCTGCATGTGCCTGCATGATTAAGGAGTGCCAAAGCGTCATTGCATGTGTGTGTGCATCTTGTCTACACAGATAAAACAACAACAGAGAACAAAAGATGCCGATATACAGGAAAACTATGCAATAGGTCCATTCACAAACATTAAAATGAACAATTCGTACAGTAAAGATAGGTGAGTGAATGCAAAGGCATAATTCTTTATGATCAGGAAATACAGTAGCAAACAATTATAAATGATGACTAAAACCAGAAAGGCAACTGAGGGAGAAAATGGTACATTATTTATGAAAATATTGTATTGGTATTTTTTTTCTTTTCAATGATTTAGTTTCCATCTATAATTTTCCTATTTCCTATTTGTCAAGTAATTCTATATTTCATGCTTGGATGCAATTCTTTCCCCGTGCTATATATTGCAGATGCTCATGCCTCTTAGCGATAGCACAATATGTCCTTTCAATGGTTGTTCAAAAATCCCACAAAACTAGAACATACTCATCTTTTCCCCCTCATTCTGATGCACTACATTATCATTGGTGTACAACGGGATGAGTCTGTTTTCTTTGGGATATCTCTTCTTATCAATTTATAATTAAAAGAGATAAAACTACAGGTTTTTTTAAATTTAATATCCAAGTAGCTTTCAGCGGGCTGTGTAATAGCGCTGCGTAGGGAGGGTTTTTTCTGTATCATCATACAGTCAGAACAAAGGATATGCACATTGAAAAATCATGCAAATGAATGCAAATCGCTGGCAGCAAGGAATAGCGAGGTGGCAGGAGGGGAGTTTGTATAAGCAGAGGGATGCCAAGGACTTTGTATACAACACTTGCTGGACAATCGTCCTTTAAATTGTGGCAGATAACTAAAATTATATTGGTTTCAAATCTGATTTTAGATCTCTTCTTCACAGTGTTTGGCATAAAAGTAAGACTTTGTAGAGCTTCCTCTGTTCAATAAATACTGGATATATCTGTTTACTCACAATGCCTAAACAATATGTTGCTTTGTGTTGTTTCCTTTTTGCTAGAAATTAATTTTTTATGATGCAACAAAATGCATTGTTCATTCAAGAGGCTATTCTGATACACAGTGAATGCATATGTGATACAATGGCTGCAAACAGCTTTGCAGTAAGTGCGTGTGTGTTGGGATGATGCAATATTTTGACCGCACCGCCTCCGAGAAATGCAGAGCAGATATTAGTAACACCCACACTAATGAAAGTCTCCCCCACGCCTCCGCGCCCTACCAGTAAAAACGTAAACTTTATCAAACATGTGACATTTTCACAAATGTGTTCAGTAACTGGGTGGGGGGAATTAGGTAATGACAAACTAGGTCAGTCTCCTTTTTCATTTTGCCATGAAAGGAAAAAAAAATATGCTCATATTTATTTTCCTGGATATTTGATTTAGGTTCTCACCATGAATATTTAAAACACTACTAGGTTTACTGCATCAGGACTATATTACAACTGCATCAGGACAATATCACAAATGCATCAGCACAGAAAGTGCAAAAAGATTCATTTGTGTGCTTAAAAGTTAAAGGTCAATTTGCTTTCATTCGAAATTATGTGTCATCATTTTTATAATTCATAATACAACACAGCACTGCAGAGTGTTTAAAGTGTGTGTGTGGTTTTTAAAACAGCGTTGTGTGTTTCATAACAATGTAATTCAAAACTTGTATTCAATCCTAATTTGTAGAAAAATCCTAGAATTATGTAATACAATCCTAACACAAAAAATGAATCGTTTTCAAAAGCATGTATTTTTTCCATGAAGGTAATTCTTGCATCACTTCCTTTGGCAAAATGTTGATATTAATGTAGACATGGTTTAACAATATCAAATTCAGAGGTTCTCATAGCCATACGACAATCTAGTAATTTGTTTCAACTTGCATACAAAAAAATAAATACTGCACCCCTCCAACACAAACCACACACACACACACGTGGACTAACCGCAGACACAATATGGTAGGGGAGAAAAGGGGGAGGGCACAGGCAGACATTCACAATTGTGCATAATGATGTTAACATTCCTGCATGTCTAATGCAGGGGATATTGAGACAGACACTAGCTGGTCGGCGGTCTTGCTGTGTGTTGTGTGTGTTCACGGGTATAAAATGTAGCAGTGCATAATGATGTATTAATTGTGGCCTGCACTCGCTCGTGGTGTTTGGGCTCCTTGCCGAGGTTACTACATGGCCTTTGATGCTATCATTAATCTTATCACACATATGCAAGATCACACTGCACTTTTTTTTCTAGTCTGCTCGTATTAAAATTGTAAGCGCACCATAATCTGAGTATTGCTTTGTACAAAATTGCAACCACTGGACATATGTTTATGAGTGATTAACCCAGATTTACACAGCTGTTTGAAATTAACAGCTCAGCAAAGGGATGTATCAGTGGCCAGAATTTTAGAAGATAAATGCTAAACTGAAAGAAATGGCATGGCAACAACAATTTAAAACATCCTCAGTCTGTATTTTTGTATTCACACGGAGTGGCTTAAAGGGTGTGCCTTAATTTCAAACACACACAACCAAGTGGTCCTCCAATGCTGTTTTTTT